GTGTGCACTTCCTGTATATATGTGTGCACTTCCTGTATATATGTGTGTACTTCCTGTATATATGTGTGTACTTCCTGTATATATGTGTGTACTTCCTGTATAGCTGTGTGTACTTCCTGTATAGCTGTGTGTATTTCTTGTATATCTGTGTGTACTTCCTGTTTATTCCTGTATATATGTGTGTACTCCCTGTGTATCTGTGTGTACTTCCTGTATATCTGTGTGTACTTCCTGTTTATATGTGTGTACTTCCTGTTTATTCCTGTATATCTGTGTGTACTTCCTGTATATATGTGTGTACTTCCTGTATACCTGTGTAACCTGACCTGAAAATCTGTCCTTGCAAGTAAAAGCAGGTTAAAATCTTCTCCTGTCGTCGATTGTGGCTCCTTTGATTAAATACATTAAGAGAGAATATTTTTTCTCCAACAACTGTTCTTGTACATTTTACTGCACCCCGGCACATTGTGTAAAGTTGTTCAGTCTACACTGCGGTGGATCTCATCTGTCAATTACAGCTGAACGTTTTGATTTATCGTATAATAAAACTAGTGGTCATGACACCATGGTTCACAAATACAGCCCTTCATGGTGTCCGAGTGATTGATGATGTCATCAGGAAAATGATTGAGGTCGTGATGCCAGTGATCCCTGAAACCTCTTGACTACAGTTTTCCATCTCTTCCCACCTTGTACCTGTTTCATCTTACATCGGGAATCTCTTGAGAAGTAATTGTCAAGATCTGTTTATTTCGTTTGATGGTTTTTTTTTTCACGTCTGTTGTACTAATCCACTGACAAAAGACGGAAGAACGCATCGAGTGCTTTAATGTTTCCTGTACTCGTAAACACCGTTAGAACACGATGGAGTTGGAGAAATAACTTCTTACCCAGAGGAACCCTGGCAGCGCTCGCGTCAGGGTTGATCCAGAAGGACAGCCAGGAAAGAACGACGATGAGCAGCGTGGGAGCGTAAACACCCATCATGTAGAAGCCAACTTGTCGCCGGAGGGTAAAGATAACCTCCACACAAGTGTAATATCCTACAATGAAAAAATAATCTCACATACCATAATAATAAACATTGAAATTGTTTAACTATTGTTTATCACAAGCTGAGTCTAAATGCAGCTGATGATGAGTCTGAAAAAATAGACCAGCAAATTGAAATTAGTAAAATAAAACAGTGACTGCTTTCATGAGTTTCGACCATCCAGTCTTTCACAAATACAAAGTTACGTTGTTTCACAATGTCTTCATAAAATATACAAACATTTACACAGACAGGTTTTATCTAAAACGGTGAACTTTTGAAACTAAAATATAAAATGTGAGGGAGCTGAAGTCTTGGTGAGTGTCTATAAATTCAATATGAGGTCACATCAGTCAGGATAACGCTCCTTTAACACCTCTGTAATATTTTATCTTCTATTGTTCAAGAACAAAACAAAAGACAGCAACTCAAACAACAACAAAACAACAGATAAGACAAAGACAACATCAAACAAAGCTTCACATCATTTTGGCTTTAAAAAGGTCACAGGTTCAACTCCCAGCCTTTATGGGCGGAGCTTACATGATCCCTCTGCATGTGGTTTCTTTGGATCATTCCACTGCAGACATGCCTGTTATGGAAATCGTCCCCAGGGTTAGTGTCAATGGTCGTCCATCTTATCTGTCTCTATGTGGACCTGTGATGAACTGGTGATCTGTCCAGCCCCCCCCCCCCATCACACAGTGGCAGTTACATAGATGATGGATGATCTGGACTAACCAAGTTAAAGTTTGAGGCCTGAGCGGCAAACATGAGCTGCAAACAGAGAGATTGATGGGTCTGTGACTTTCATACATTTAGATCTCCTATACTCCTGTTACCATCCATCCATCCAACCAACCAACCATTCATCCATCCAAACAACCAACCAACCATTCATCCATCCAAACAACCATCCATCCAGTCAACCATCCAACCAACCATTCATCCATCCATCACTGGTGTCTATATCCAACAGTCACTGTGCGAGAAGCAGGGGACACCCTGGACAGGTCTCCAGTCCATTACAAGGACACAGAGAAACAAATGAGACAAATATTCTCTCTCACCTAGGGACAATTTAGAGTTACCAGTCAGTCTAACATGTTTTTGGTCTGTGGGAGGAAACCAGAGTACCCAGAGAAAATCCATGCAGCACGGAGAGAACATGCAAACTCCTCCCAGAAAGGTACCAGGTCAGGATTCAATCAGACAACCTTCTTGCTGAGAGGCAACCGCTCTGTCAACTGCGCCACTGTGCCGCCCAACTCCTGTTACTGCAGGTTATTATTTTTAGCAGATAATTTCTGTTCAGAAAAAAACCATACTAATTGTCTTTTTTTAATTCAGTCCATGGGTGAAACAAGCATCGTGGCCACGCACTAACAAACGTGTCTTCTCCATAACAGGAGTCTTTCTGTGTATTCATGTCGGTCGCTTGGTCTAACGAGATGCTAGATTTAGTAGAGTGAAAAATATTCAGGGACCTGTGTGTCTCTAATAGAGAAAATAAGAGCTGTCTGTGACTCGAAGCAGGCTCAAACCAGCTGAACACAGAAACGTTCTCTTTGTCTGGCCACGTAGTCATGGCAACCAGTTGAAAGCCTGACTCACCGAGAGCGTGATGCCTAAGAGCAGTGAGATTTGGTTTTATTTTATTTATTTGATCATTATGTTATAATGCACTCACACAGGGCTAAATATGTTTATGGAACAGAACCAGATGTTTTGTTTTTGTTGTTTTTGGAGTTATTAGTTCTGCAAACATCCTGGGATTTAAGTCAGTGTCTGCCTTTCTTGATGTGAAAAGAAAAAAGAAATGTTGTGCCTGCCCTCCTGTGTGTAGCTGCACAACAACGTCTTCACATCATTCATCACAATCCTGAGCAAAGACTGATAAACTGAGCCGATGCGTACGCTGAAGGAGGAATCAGACACTTTGGTGCTTTTCCTCCATCGTTGTTGACTCGTTTGTCGTATCTTTGGTGTTAACAGCTGTTTGTTTTTGCTGCATTTAAGTTCTTCTGACATCGATGGAGATTCTTGACGCGCTAACAAATGGATGTATGCAATAGTGTCTTTGAAAATATACAAGGTTCATGCAAATGTTTTAAAATGTTAAATGAAATCCTTTTAGCTTCGTGAAGTTTCAGGTCAGTGGAGGGGAAACGTTATTTACTGGCTCATCAGCTCCATTGGCAGAAGGAAGAAACTTTTCTTAGAGCGTCAAAGCAACAAATGTTTTTTTTATTTTTTTATTATTCTGATTAAACCAAAATGAAGCTTCATGAAATCTTCACAAGCAAGAACGAAGTTTTTCTGAAAACGTATATCACCCAATAAAATTCACACAAAACAATTAGTCTGCAAGAGCTGCAGCTCAAAATCTCATGCAACCTGAGGAAAAAACATTTTTATCCAAATGAACAAAAACTTTAATGACACAAACGCAAAATCACTAAAAACAGAAAATATTTGATTGATTCCAAACACTTTTCTGTGTTGGTTTCAAATCTGATTTGATTGAGAATAAATAAAAGGAAAGCTGCAACACTTTAGCCTTGCAGACTAGACTCAGGGGGAAAAACATACTTGTTCATTTCTCTTTAATGGTCTTGAAAATGATCGTGTCCCCAGCATTACCTGTTCCTTCATAGAATTTGGTGCAGTTTCCATAATCGATGTCTTCTTGTCTGATATCAAACTGTGGAAGAGCGATGGCGTCCATTTGCACCGGGTCTCCTGTCTGCCACATGAACTGCAGGTCGTCTGTCGTGTAGCCGACTGAAAACACAGGAAGACAAATCACATTCACCAAGACAAAATTTAAATATATGTGTTTGTGTAATGTAATTAAAGTAATAAAAAAACACTTAGGGAATGCAGAAAACTGCAGTATTCAGTATAATCTGTATAAATAAAGGTTGAACATCTCAGCAGCCTGGTTAACGACTTATAGTTTAGTAAGCAACATACACACTACAGAAAATCTCAGTGAGTTATTATATTTATATTTATATAATTTTCTGAAACAACTCACAGCTTTCAAGTTGCATTTTACACCTTTGGGTGTCCATGGGAAACAAGGTCAGATCCAGTGGACATGAAAGAGTGACTGACAGCCTGGAAGAGAAACAGAATACTCAAATGTGGCTTTAGGATTGATTTTTGATTTCATTTGATCTCTGTATTTTCACAAAGGCATGAAATATTTTGCCATTTTGGCCTTGCAGCTCCCATATTTAATAACTGGGAAAAATTAAAATCGACCCAAAAAAGTCTGAAGCAAAACAGAATTTAAACAGTCCCTGAAATAGCTTTTAGCATTTTAGGACAACATATGATTGGCAGTAGTTATATGGTGGAGTATAATATAATGTATAATATAATAATGTATAATATG